ACAAGACCTCTTGATTTTATTCTACAAATTTAAGTCTATTCAGCTTTCTCATGACCTAAAACTCCAAGAGCTTAAGCAGCATCTGGGGTCCCTCGGTGCTCTGAGGACCCCCACTATCTCCCAAGGCGCCCTCTGCCAGGCTGCCCGTTGGCATTTGCCTTTCTGAATCTAACCCTCCCTCCAGGGCACGGGCTCAAGTTTCCTCGTTGTGATAAATGCAAGAGAGGGTGCTTATAAAGGCCAGAGGACTTGACTGAGTCCAGGCCTCGCTCAGAACTTTCCTGTTTGCTTTCTCTCCTTCTCTGGGGATGCTGGTGGAGGGCCCACCCGAGGGAAGTCCAGCGGCCTTGAACCAGAGCCCGACAAGGACTCCAGGTCTCCGGGTCAGGCCGACTGCCCCCCGGGGTCCTCTCTGAGTCTCACTTCACTACGAGAGCAGACTGGCTTGGGACCTGAGGACACTGCAGTGGCTGGGACTGGAATGGGGAATCCTTCCGCCACCCCCACCAGTGCCCCCGGTTTGTTTAGCTTGGGAGTGAGGCAAGAGCAGGTAGGAGACCGCCGGTCACACAGCGGCCACTGCGAGGAACTGACTAACGCTCTCCCAACAGCGTTATTCACCCTCGTTCCTCCGGTTAGCTGTTTATTTATTCATTTATTCAGCAAATATTTATCGAGCAGCTAGCGTGTGTCTGTACCTTTTCGCACCCCGACCTCCTATCCTTCCAGACCAGGTTGAAGCCTGCCCCAGCGCTCCGTGCCAGAGGCAGTCCCCTGTCCGAGGAAAGGCCCGCAGAAGGGGCGCTGGCCCCGGTCAGGAGGGCCTGGCTGAGAGGCAAGGGTTCAGGACATCCACGCGTGTCCTCGGGCAGGTCACCCAAGCCGTCAGCTCTGAAGTGCGCATGATCGTAACACTTGCCTCCTAATGCGAGATGCCCGGGGATGCTCCATAAGGGACAGTAACATCGCTGGCAGGGAGCCACAGAGCTTGCAGAAGGTGTAGGAGTTACTCAGGGGTCAAACCTGGCAGGAGAGCAGAGATCAAAGATGCTGTCTTAGACCCTCAGGGTCATCCGCGAGAAAATACACAGAATTCTTGCTCCTTTTCACAGGGGAGAAAGCTGAGGGACAATTAGCACAGTAAGTAAATAAAGTCTACGGTGCGGCCGGAAGCGGCCAGTGCTTTAGAAAAAGGGAACACGGGCATGGGGCAGTGTGGAGGTGGGGCACGGGGCAGCCCTGAGCCAAGTGTCAGGGAAGCCTTGCTGAGAAGGTGAAGTTTGAGCGAATTGAGGTAAAGGAGGGAGACAGCGAGATGGACAAATGGGACGGTTAAGGGACTGGCCACTTGCACACCTTCTGTGAAGTCTCTGATCAAGGCTCTTGTCCAATATTTTACTTGCGTTGTTTGTCCTTCATTATTAACTTGTAAGACTGTTCGTATATATTCTGCTGAAATCCTTTGTCAGGTGTCTGCATGGCAGATATGTCCCCCCACTCTGTGTTGTGTCTGTACATTTTCTTAACAGACAGGTGTTCCTCTGGACAACCTCCATTTTTCATCAAGTTTTACTTTTATGCTTTGTGGTTGCTTGGGTCTTATTAAGAAACCTTTGCCTGCCCCAAGGTCACAAATATTTTCTTTATATTTTCTAGGAGTTTGGGCTCTTATTTTTAGGTCTATGATCCACTTCAAGTTAATTTTCGGGTCTGATTTGAGTAGGGGTTGAGAGGTACGTTATTATATATGGACTAGAGGCCTGATGCACGAAATTCGTGCAAGGGGCTCGGCCCTCACAGCCCTGGCTTCATCACGAAGGTTGTCCGGAAGGACGTCCAGAAGGACATCTGGAAGGTTGTTCGGCTGTTCAGTCTAATTAGCATATTACGCTTTTATTATTATAGATATTCGGTTGTTCCACCAACACTTATTTTAAAGGCCATACTTTCCCCAATGATTTTTCTAGATCCCCCCCCCCCTTTTTTTTAAATCAATTGGTCGTATATGCCTGGATCTATTTCTGGGTTCTCTATTCTGTTCCATTGACCTAGATGTATATCTTTATACAAATACCATACTATTGCTTTATAATAGGTCTTAAAATTCAGAGATATAAATCTTCTCACTTTGTTCTTTCTCAAAATTGCTTTGACTATTCTAGGTACTTTGCATTTCCACTTAAATTTTGGAATAACCTTGTCACTTTCTACAAAAAGGCAACAAGTTATAATTGCAATTATGTTGAATCTATAGGGCAGAATTGACATCTAATAATATTATTTTGAATTTTAGGATCCATAAACATGGTATATCTCTTTATTTCTTTATGCCATCTTTAGTTTCTCTCAGCAATGTCTTATAATTTTTAGTGTACAGGTCTTAAATACACTTTATGAAATTTATCCCTCGGCATTTCACATATTTTATGCTGTTGTACCAGGTAAATGCCATTTTTTAATTGATCTTTCTTGCTGAAAATACTACAGATGTCCCCCTTTTCTTCCCACAGAGCCCGTAGCCCAGTCCCACCCCTGCTATTATTTTCTAAGTTTTTTTATTCTGAGACTAAAGGCCCGGTGCACAGATTCATGAACTGGTGGGGTCCCTCGGCCTAGCCTGTGCCTTCTTGCAATCTGGGACCCTTTGGGGGATGTCAGACTGCCGGTATCAGCCCGATCCCCACAGGCCAGGCTGAGGGACCCCACCAGTGCACGAATCTGTGCACTGGCCTGGTTTTGGCCCAGTCCCCACAGGCCAGGCTGAGCGTCTGCCCCCTGGTGGTCAGTGCACATCATAGCTACCAGTTGAAAGATCCAACTGTCTAACAGTCGATGGTCGTTTAGGCTTTTATATAGAGAGACTAGAGGCCCAATGCACGGAATTCATGCAAGAGTAGGCCTTTCTTCCCCCGGCTGCTAGCACCAGCTTCCCTCTGACACCCAGGACCCGGGGTTCCCTCACAGCCCCGGCTTCATCTGGAAAGTCATCCGGAAGGATGTCCAGCCTAATTAGCATATTATGCTTTTATATAGAGAGATAATCTTAGAATATTAGAAGAGTTACTGAAAGAGTATAGAGCCTTGCTGGCATGGCTCAGTGGCCGAATATCCATCTATGAATGAGGAGGTCACAGTTCCATTCCCAGTTAGAGCACATACCTGGGTTGTGGGTTCTATCCCCAATGTGGGGCATGCAGGAGGCAGCCAATCAATGATTCTCTCTCATCAGTGATGGTTCTATGTCTCTCTCCCTCTCTCTTCCTCTCTGAAATTAATAAAATATATATATATATTTTTTAAAACAGTATAGAGAGTCAGCGTATACCACTCACTTAGCTTCCTTTAATATTAGTACCTAACCTAAATAACACAATTATGAAAACTAAGAAATGAACATTGGTACAATACTATTAACTAAACCATGGACTTTATTTGAATTTTATCAGTTTTCCCCTAGCATTATTGTCAACTTCCAGGACCCCAGAGTGTATTAAGTTGGCATGTCTTTTAATCTCAACAATCTGTGACAATTGTTTAATATTTCTGCCTTTCATGACTTGACATTTTTGAATAGTAATGGCCAGGTGTTGTGTAGAATTAGACAAAGCCCTCAATTTGACTTTGTCTAATGTTTTCTCATGGTTATTTGAGTTTATGCATTATTGAGAAGAATAACACTGGGGTGATGTGCATAAGTCATATCAGGGAGTTCATGATGTTACCATGTCTTATTACTGGTGATGTGAACTTTAATCACTCATCAAAGATGGCGTCTGTCCGATTCCTCCCCGGCACAGTTACCATTTTTCTATTCATAATTAGTAACTTTAGGGCAAGGTGATACTTTGAACTATGCAAATGTTCTGTTTCTTCTGAAACATTTCCCCACCAATGTCAACACCCATTGGTGTGTCTTGCCAACATTATTTCTATGGAATTCTAATGGTGATTTTTCTATTTCTCTCATTCCTAGGACATTTGTTAATTAGAATTCTTCTGTAAGGAGTCATGGTTCCCTTTCTCCCACTTACTTATTTACTTATTACATTATATTTATATCAGTGTGGGCTAACAAATATCACTTTATTCATTGGGGTATAATCCAATGCTATCATTGCTTATTCTGTTGCTCAAACTGTTCCAGCTTCGGCCATTGGGAGCTCTTTCAGATTGGCTCTTATGCATTTGCAAAATTCCCCCATTCTTTTGATTTTTGATTATATGATTAATTTGTAATACAGCATTTTTATTTTACTCATCAACTGTTCTTTGCTAAGATATCCTACATAATAAAAGCCTAATATGCTAAGTGTCCAGTCAACCGGTTGGCCATTCAACCAATCAAAGCATAATATGTTAATGATATGCTAAGGCCGCTCGACCTCTCACTATGACATGCACTGACCACCAGGGGGCAGACAGTCAACCGGTTGACCAGTCCCTATGATGTGTACTGACCACCGGGGGAAGATGCTCCAACCGGTAGGTTAGCTTGCTGCTGGGGTCTGGCCAATCAGAACCAAGCAAGATGGGCCAGACATGCCCCAGAGCCCTCTCGTGGTCCCTCCCTGACTGGCCAACCTTCCTCATCCCTCCCCGGCCCCGATCGTCCACCGGTGGGGTCCCTCGGCCTGGCCTTTACCCTCTAGCAATATGGGACCCCTCAGGGGATGTTGGAGAGCCGGTTTCAGCCTGATCCCACAGCCAGGCCAAGGGACCCCACTGGTGCACAAATTGG